AGTTATTTTAAAAGTTTCTAAAACATTTTCATATTTTGTATTTCACATTTGTATATTAGCTAAAAATACTTTCTTTACTGAATTTTCAATTTGTACTTTTAAATACATGTATAATGTTAAGCATCTCAAAATCTATTTTTTGACAATAAATTTCTCCCAGCTGTATGCTGAAATTTTTATGAAGTTGTACTGGATTTATAATCATACTTTCATAGTATTTAACTTTTTTTCCTTTAGAATTTAAGGTAATTTCATGTGTCATATAAAAATTAGAAGTTCTCTCGTGCTCTATTTGTATAATTCTTAATTTTCAGCTATTGCAATTTCAGTACTGATGGAGTTAAGCATATTATTTTATTTACCATTACATGTTAAAATATTTAGAGGCATTAAGCTGTGGGTACAATTGGTATGAATACAACTTCAATAATTTTTAAGTTTCTAAAGCTTTCCTGAATCAAACGGATAATTTTCTAAAATTGTCAATAAATTTTTACATGATAAATAATAAGTGCATGCTGGCGCTTTAATATATCTAGCAAGTTCACAGTTTAAACTTCTGAAAAAAATTAATAAGCATGTCTGCATATAAAGCATGTTTTTATTTTAAATATACTATTTTGAAGTTTGCTTCATATGGAATCTAACATCTATTATTGTAACAAACTGGTTAAAAATGTTATTTTGCATGTGTTTCCAGAAAAGGCAGCTAAAGGCTTTATGATTTTAAATACTGGTTCAAGACATGCACCTTTAAATTATAATGCTTTTAGATTGAAGTGCAGAATGCTGTAAAAAATACTTCAGTTCTCTGATGGCAAAAAAATAAATTTTTGTATAGATTTAGTAGAGTAAAAATTCCACATCAAAAACATTTTTTCACCTTTATTTAGGTAAAACGAAGTTAAAAAAATAATACACACATAAATAAATAAAAATAATACTTTTACATACGGAATTTGCAGATATTATTTACTAATCAATTATTTGTTATTGATAGCTACATTTTATTATACATAGAAAAAATACTGATAATTTTTTAAGAATTTACATGCATTAAATGATGAAAAAACATACGTATGCTGTTAATGTTACACTTATCTGAATATTTAATGATAATTCCATAACCTATATAAGATTCAATCTATAGCACTGCAAGGACAATGCTTAAATCACAGTTCTTCTTATTAATTAATTTCCATATGTAAAAACATAAAAATATCATTTAGCTACAGATCTGTAGATTAAGGCCTCTTATAACAAGCATATGCAAAACACATATAATGAAAATAATGCAAAAATAGAAATAAATTGCACTACATTAGGAAAAAGACTTGCAGTTTATTCCATTATATTAAAATCTTATTAAAATACAGCAGTAATTTGATATTTTTTCTATTTTCAACAGCTTTATATAGAATGATCTTACTTTACTGGATTCTTATTTAAATGAATGTATATGAAAATATTAAAATAAATGGGGGGGGAAAGGTCTGAATAAATCTTAGCCAACACTGCTAAGATAAAATTCTTATTTTCAATAACATGTTTCAATGTATATCATTTTAAAAAGCTTAAGAAAGTTTTATGTGCATACTGAGAAGGCAGGAAAAAGTAGCCTTGACTTAAAATCTGTTTTAAAGCAACAAGTGTATAAAATACGCTGGTTCTATTAGCATGTCAACAAAAAAAAAAACAAAAAAAAATACTGTTATGTACTGCAAAAACAAATCTCAAATATAACATTATGATACATTACACTCTTACAAAAGAAGTATCAGATTAGGAATATACTCTTTTATGTATTTAATAACAAAGAAGAGTAAAACAGATGCAACATCACATTATGAAAAATCCTGCAATTCATTACAATAATAAGGTAAAAATCGTTTGATCATTCTTTCACAGTAGCACTAAGTTTTCCAATCAAAATTATGAATACGCCAAAACAAATTCACTGTCGGTGCCTCAAAATTAAGGTCACACAAAAGTAAATTGGATTTAGCTGAACATAAAATCTTCCATGTATTAAATGAATTTAATCACACTTTTAAGAATGCAATTTTCTGATAAATTTTAATTTTTATACAAAAATAGAATTAATTTTGTAAAGCTACTTAAAACATATTTCTTGTTCACACATTTAAATAAATTTAAAGTAAGTATACTTAAAAATACAACATGAAGATTTACTACTAGATAAAGCATGATAATGGGCTCAAGACAATTTGTCGAACATTTAAATTAATACTTAACTTCTTCAAAATTCCTTAAAAACGCAGAATATATTGATCTTACTATAAAGAAAAAACAAAATTATTTATAGTTTAGATCACACTATCAAGTTTTTAACACTGGCGCCAACTAGCAGATTTGGCGACAATATATTAGAATCAAAATAGAATGCTACTTTAAATTACCAGTCGTACAGTAAAATTAAATAAAAATAAGGCGCATCACATTTTTAACCTTTGTGATAACCCAGCATAAACTTTACATGAAACGTAGGATACAATTTTACAAACAGTATAAACTATTTGCGATAATAAAAGAAACATTACAAACAGTATTGGCAATATTTTACTGCACAAATATATGCACATTCCGCAATTGATTTTGTATTTATAACATCAGTTGATCGTCAATAAGTGACAGTGAAATTAAAATACTCATTTTGAAGAAATAGGAAAAGTAATTTTTCTAACATTCTATGGATTCTAAAATACGAAGCTGAACTTACCTCACCAACGACACTCTCCTGGGCCCGGAAGTCATTAATCTTGACAATAATTAATTATCCGTTGTCTATATTGTATGTAAATAGAACGCATTGCTTCGATCACGGAAAATTCGCTGCCGACGCAAAGAAATTCGACTGATTTCATCCAAATACGCTTCAGCTAAAACTGACGAAAAACTTCCGCCATGTTTATTGCCGGAATTATAACCATATGTTTATTTAACACGAAGGGTCAGACCTGTCCTTACTTTAACAGCCGTCCCGTCAATTTAACGGTCAAATTTAACGCTAGCTTTGATGAGAATACCAATACTTGCGATTTAACTACTTGTGACGTCAGAGTACCACGTGATTCCGTAAATCTCACTTAACGCTGTGGTTAAAAATGTCATAAATAGGGCCCTATGTTCAATTTTGTTACTGTTGGGGGTGTGAGTAGCCGGAGCTGAGTTCTGATTGGTTGATGTGACAAATTGTGTATTTTCTTGTGTTTTTTGAGTTTTTGGATTTAGAGTTTCAGAATAAAGTTTTCTGGGGCCTTGTGAATTAATGTTTCGTGGTTTGGAGAATTTTTTTCGCATCCTCTGTAGGAAGCAGGGTGTGAATTTTGGGCAATTGGCACATACTGGATCTTCAATGAATCCTTTTTTTGGGCAAGCAATAGATTTGTGATCCCCTGCACATTTAACACAACGGGGTGTAAGGAAAGCAGTTTTCGGATGAGTGATGCCATTTTCTGGCAGTTGTGACATTGTGGTATGAGATTTTTGTTAACATACTATTTTTCAATTTGTACTATGAATAGTGATATGTGTGTGATGTTGTAAATTTCTTCAATGTTGAGTGTGGGTATGAGTTGTGTTTGAAATAGAGGCATGGGCTGTCGTGTACGATTTCTTGTCATCTGAGTGATTTTATGTACTTTGAATCCTTGTTCTGTGAGAATGTCATGAATTTCATCTGTGTCCATGTCTATAGGTAATCCTCTGATTACAACCTTCACAGGTTTAAGATGTCGAGTGTTTATGATGTAGTGTTCTATGTTTTTGTCTTTGAGAAATTCTGTGAGTATTCGGTGATCTTCGGGTGAATTTGGGTGTATTTTTAGAAATTCGCCGTTGATACGGCCAAAGATTTGCTTTGGATTGGTCCGCTAGCTGTTTTAAATAGTTGTTGTATTTTACGTTATCTGGTGGTTTCACCATGACTGGAGGTACCGATTTGTGCTGTGGAGGTGTAATTGTTTGTTGAGTGTCTAGAATCATTTTGTGTTTCTGGATTGTTGTCATTTTGGGAAATAGTGCCGTCATTATTGTTATCCAGGGGGCTAAATCTATTTTTGGTGGCAATGTAGTTTGATGCGTCTTTTAAATTGGCAAATTTTTTGGTCTGTTTGCTAGTTCTGGTTGGTTTAACAAATCCTACATTCTGCTCATTGCAGTCATCTGAGTTTTCAGAAATGTCATGCTGTTTTCTTTTTTGATTCATGCTACAAGTATTAGCGTTAGAATTATCTAAGTTTTCCTCAGGTGAACAATGATTTGGGTTATTTACGGGGGTCCTAGCACACAATGACATAAAATGTTCGCACTTACCCCTAAGGTGCTCCATTTCCAATTTCATCTGCCGTGTATTTGTTGCCATTAGAGGAGTATACTGGTCCGGATCCGAAACAGCACGAACGGCGTCCATTTGCTTCTTCAGGGATTTGGTGTCATTTCGATCTTGGCTTCGAGTGCGTGAATTTGGTTCTTTATCTGCATAACGATGAGTTCGGGTTTTATATCCAATTGTTCGGTTTCCGATGCGGTCGAGGTGTCCATTTAATCTTGGTCAGCAGTATTAGCCATACTCCAGTCGTTAGTAGGTTTGTCCGGCGGTATAGCGGCACAAGCCGGCGTCGGATCATGGGCTGATGCCATAATTCAAAAAGAGCGTCCTTCACCCACGAAGGCTGAAGGCAGAATCTCAAAACGTTGATTTCGAGTCAAGGTTTTTTTTGGGGGGGGTGTATTGGAGGGTCCCGAGAAAATTTTTACATAGGGATTTAAGAGTTTTAGTTACTCTACTGAGTAAAATCATCGGGAAAATGTATTATCTCCATTCACAGCTCCGTACGGATTTAACTTTTACTTAAAATTCTGCGTCTTTAAATTAATATTTTAATACATGCGGCTAACATATTAATTTTATTTCTAGTGAATGTTTGAAATTAATTGTGAAATTAAAAATTTTCCGGCATCTAAATGTTTTTTCGTTGAGAAGAAGACAACATTTTCAGAGGGTCAAGTCAGATATGTCTGCTCTGAAATCAGAAAGGTAGGAGGAAATTTCCAGTGTATTTGTGGTATATAATATTATGTTCACATGTGCTATTAGATTTTAACCTGTGTAAGATTCAATGTATTCTCTGTATAAATAATTTCTTGAAATTCATTTGTTTCATTTTAGTTGAAAATGTTGTAACTTGGGAGGTGAACTAACAGTTTTGGCTTCCCATGCAAATCTATGTTTACTTATTTATTGTAGGAAACTTATTTAGTTTATAATTTCCTTGTATTTTGATTTTGAATGTATGTTGTCTTTGATACTTTTACAGGGCAGATCAAATGTTCTCGGTAATTTTTCTTAACAGTCGCATAATTTGAAGGAATTCATTTTATTACTGTTTACTTTAATAATCAACTGTGATGTGTAATTTAGGTCTGTTTCGAAGTCCTACTTGTGATAATGCTGGAAGAGGCATGGCGGAGGCAATTGTCCGTGAGTGGATTGCCGATTACAAGGTATGTAAAACAATCTTAAGAATTACAGCAGGAAATCTCACAATTGAATACATTTCTCATATATAAATAATATGGCTTCGTTAATGATTCAGAATTATAAATTTAAAATATTTTAATTTAATAATTAAGTTTTAATTCTGAATAATTAACGAATTGTATACACTTGTTTTGCATTAGCAAATGTGCAAACTTCTATAATCTTCATTTAAAATAAGGTTACTTACAAGACTTTAATTTTCTTTAATACACAGTTTACGTGTTAAATGCTTTCTTATTATGTATGTAAACTGTGTTCTGAATTTTGTTACTTATTTTAAGGGCTACTATTTTTCAGTACATTTCAAGATTTTTAGATTTCTGTGAAGTTGCCGGAATGTTTCACCTTCATTTTTTTTTTTTTTTTTTTTTTTTTTTTTTTTTGTTGTTGCCTAGTTAAAAAATGTCATTTCCTTGATCGTGAAATTCTTATTCAGTTTTAATTCTTTTAATGTTTTTAAGGGCAAAGTGAAGAATTATTTACTAATTTGTTTGGCACTTTTTACAAGAGTAAGAATTGGATTTTTTTCAATTTTTTTTTTACTTTCAAAGTGAAAATAGGTCGATGTGTACATGGATAAAGTCAAAGGAGTGCGCAATGACATATTTGTGCAATTCTGGGATTTGTTCTAAGTGAAAACAGGTCGATGTGTACATGGATACCGAGTATGTGCAATTCTTAAAAACGCGCCAAGCAGTGGGTGATTCTGCATTTCCCCGTTTTTAAATATTGAGCATTTTATAATAGTTTTATTTTACTACTTGAAAATTTAGTAGTGTGCTGTATTACATACTGTATAAATTATGGAGGAAATTAATATCAATGCCTACTTTATTTAGCTATAGCAGTAAGTGAAAAAGAGTAATACATCTGTACATGTTTAAAGTCTGTTACATTCATATACAAAATGATAAAAATTAGTTAAAGGCTCTATTATTTGTCATGTTTGCATCATATATTATTTATGTTCCCAACAAAAATATTGTCACATTTTCACCCTCTGGCTGATCATGCCGCGATTTACACTAGCAACTCAAATGTAGCAAAGTTTGCTCATCCCGCGATTTCCGCGGGCATATGGTTTTCTTCCTTTATTGAGTCATGCATCCCGTTTTTTCACCCATTTAACAATTGAAATAAATCATATACAGTATTAGGTGTTTAGTTTTAAGTTTTTGGCCAAAAGATATCGTTAGTTGTTCACTAAATTGTGGCATTTGAAGGCATGTGGTATTAGCACTTAAACTTCACTTTTTGCCACTTTTTTTTTACAGAACTGGCTGCTAGAAAACATTCAGCAATTATCTTGATTATTTAATTAAATTGTTGAATTATTGATTAGATTAATAATTAGATTTATTGAATCTGGTGCAAAGACTGTGAAGTTTGAACTCTGTCATACTAAACTGCATTTTTAAGGTATTTTTCCCTCAGCACTTTATATTTTATTAAATTTTGTACATTTTACTTTTTTTATATTATGCAATAAATAACTGTTATTTGACTGAAATTTATTTTAAAAAAGATTTTTTTGTTGTGACAACCTCTGAAATTGGATTTTCTGGCGACTTAGTTTCTCACGATAAAAATCTATATAAAAAATACTTTCTAGAAAAAAAAAGTAGATTTTTCAATTCTCCTATATATATAGATTATATATTTTATATACTATATATATATATATATATAATCTATATAGATATACTATATATATATGCAAAAAAAAAAAAAAATGCGCAATTTTGGAAGCGGTTTCGGTCTACAAATTGAGCAGTCAGAGAGTTAATATTCACGGAAAACATTGTTGTTGTGTCCATATTGCATGGAACAATGGTTGCCAAAGCCTACTCCGAAGAGAGGTTGTATTTCTATTTTCCACCCCCAATTTTAAAGGGAGAGCACCCTGGGGAAGAATCTGGGGGTCACCCACCCCTCTCCACTCCTACCAATCCACATAACAAGACTTTCGGCTCGCCGTATTAGGGCCCCTGCCCACGCACTATAATTTAAAACCATCTCTCGGCTGAACGGCTTGACCGAGAGTCCGAACACATACTTGGGCGACATTATCTGAATGATATTAATTTTTTTGAATGCATTATACGACAAGTATTAATTCGGACACCCATAATCCGGACCTCAAAGCTACAAACTTTCTGTGCATGCGTCGCATTGACGCATGCAGCGCGCGTAAGACCTTTACGGCTGCGAATATGCTTGTGCGCGTATGCAAAATATGTTTACGAGTGCGCGTTTAATGTACAATGGACAGTATAAGCTAAGCTAAAATTATCTATTTCAGTTAATGTTGCACATTGCGTTGTTCCTTAATCTTCAAATTGGATCCGGCTTATTATTTTTTGCAGACTATTAGAGCAATTTTATAAAAGTAAGCTTGAACTTTCGATTATGTGAAATAGAATTTCTAATATATATTTATTAATATGTAAAGGATCTACAAAGCGAAAGTATGTTTCGAAGTTCATTAAACAAAAAGTGGAATTGCTGCTGCAAAAAATGGATAAAGGCATATCCTTTATTTATCTAAACTTTAACGTTTATTTATCTAAACTTTGTTATCTTTAATGCCAGGGTGTGCAATGAATTGGAAGTTGATCTGTCAGCACTATCCTTATCTTCAGGGCAGATGTTTTTATTTTATTTGGCTTATAATTCCTTATTAAATGTAGTATTTCATCTCGATGTACTCCGTCTTTCATATGATTTAAATCAAATTCCTCGTTATTATAATTCGCTTCCGATAGCGAAGAAAGTGACAGAGGTTATTGAAAACGGAAAAATTTCGATTCATAAATTAGTCAGTAGACACAGCAATTACAGGACTTGAACAATGGAACTTTATAACTGAACAAGAAATTATGTCTGTTTATAGAATTAAAGAGAATGTATTATCACATAAAAAACGAAGCAACTTAAACAACTTACATTAAAAGAAATGTTTAATAAAGTAAACAAATAAATATTAAGCTGCTTTTTTTTTTTTTTTTTTTTTTTTTTTTTATTTATTTTGATAACCTTTAGATCATAATTGTTCTTTATTTCATAAATTACGGTTTCATATTTTTAATTTTATAATTTCTGCATTTCTGCATGCCATCTTACCAGATTTAAACTGATGATCAATAATCCGGAATCGCCGAAGTCCTGATGAGTCCGGATTAACGACTTTTGACTGTATATTAAATCAAGTGTTTTTATTTTTTACTAGTGTATACGATCTGCTGAAATACACAGCTTTGGGTGCACCATTTCTCAGAACAATGAACTGATCCAAGCTGTGTTTACTGTTTTGGAAGAAAAGCGTTATCATGAAGAGGTATTTTATGCATTTTTAATATCTTATATTTTTGTTAGCATAAATATCTTGTAGGTAGTATAATATAGTTGTAGGTATAAGTTCTGAATAATATATAGCTTTCTTTGCAGTACAGATTTAAAAAGACTTATTTTTATTGGCCATATTTTATTATTATTATTACATATTCATATGAACAACTGATTTTCTTGATTGAAATGGAGGAACTTGTACTAAATTTGATGGTTCTGCTCTTATATGTGCCTTAAGATCACCAAATGTGGCGATATGTGTTCTGCGCTGGTTTTGGGCACGATTTCGTGTTGTATGGCAACCGAATTGATGTTGAATACTCTTTCCCGAAGTGTTTTAATTGCTCATTGTTTCATGTTATGCATGTTTTGAAATGGCCTGTGTTGCAATGAGAGACGTGGTTGCAAGAGGGTTTGGGAGATTATTTTTAGTGGCTGTGCATGATAGAAGTAAGGAAACGCTGATGCAGTATATTCCTTGTACAACTATTTTTTCGGATGGCTGGAAATCTTACAAGGATTTAGGAAAAGAAGGTTTTGAACGTTTATTTGTGTGTTATGAATTTTCTGGAGGGTGTGTCTGGCTGTCATATAAATACGATAGTGATTACGTGGCGGGATGAAATTGGTATTTCTGCTGTTCGAAAAACATTCATTCATGGTAAGTGCATTTTATTTTATTCTTTTCTTATTTTGTAGAATGTTATTGTCGTTGTTTCTTTAGTATGAATTTCTGTTGTTATTGTTTTTTTTTTTTTTTGAATTGTTTGAAATTTATTTTAGTTTATTTTGTGGATTAGTGCATAGTGCCTAAATTGTGCAATTCGTGGATGTTTTTTAAAGTTGAAACAGAATGCTGTGTACAATGTATTCTTTGAAATTTATTGTTGTTATGTTAACTTATTTAAGCGAGGTTGCGTAGTTCGTAGATTCGATCATTGCCTAGAATGTGCCATTCGTAGATGTTTTTTTAAGTTAAAACATATCGCTGTGTACATGGATTCTTGTCAAATATTTTTGGTTAGAAACTTTACGTTTTTGCTATCTAAATTTTTTGTTTCGGATTTTTAGCTTAAATTGTGTATTCAAAACATGTTTTTTGCATGTGCGAAATCCAAGTTTTTGGAGACATTTTAGGCTTAAAGTTCGAAATGTACACAAAAAATTTAGATAGTAATATGGCACAGTGGAGATTCTTGCCAAAAATGTTTGGTGAGAAATTTGACGACTTGAGAGTGTATATAAGAGTAGTTTCAATTTGATAGTGTAAGTATTTAATACAGCAATGATTGATTAGTTAATCTAGAGCTTTTATTATCTTAGATTTTGATTATGTATTTATAACTTATAGTTAATATCATATTAATTTTATTTTGCTTTGCTATTTTAAATTCATTAAAACTTTTCACATTTTCCTATCTGGTCCATTTACTGTCAAGAAAATTATTTTTCTATTCATGAAGTATGATATTTTCTACTTATTATTAAGCTTTGTAACCATTTAAACAATATGTAATGTGAACTTTTATTTAAAAACTTAATTCGTTTAAAAATATATCAGTTTTATTTAAATGTGACATACTTTATTAGAAGAATTGTTATTCAGGATGAATGCAAAATCCACATTTTATAATTCTAATTTTGTAAATAAAATGGCTAGCAATCGTTTTATTCCAAATTGCATGAAATATGAATAGGATTAAAGTATTAGGAAATTATTGTATTTATTTTAGGCACATACGTAGGTTGTTTTTTTTTTTCAATCTCCGATCGCACAGTATGATAGCCAGGTATGTGGCAGGTGGTTGGTGTGCATAGTAGGCGACTGCGTATCTTCCCCTCCACACGCTCTGTCACTGGCATATTCAACACGCCATTTTCTGTTGAGTTGCAGTCACGTAAACATGGCTGTCGCTACTGATTCCCCATGCCAAGTGTTGAATTGAGCGAGCTGTTATTTCGTTTCCTTGCAGGCAGAAGGGAACAGCGCAGCGGAAATTCATCGAAGAATGAGTTGAGTGTATGGAAACAGCTTTACGTGTGATGGCGTTGTTTTTGAATGGTGTCGAAAGTTTAAAGATGGGCGAACTGATGTGCATGATGAAGGGGGTCAAGCACGCAAGTCTGTCGCTACAGATGACATTGTTCAATAAGTTGACCAAGCGGTTAAGCAAAATCGAAGGTTCATCATAAGTGAATTATCGATGAAATTTCCAGAAGTTTCAAGATCTTCCCTGTACTCTATCGTTACTAGACAGTTGCGCTACAGAAAAGTTTGCACTCGCTGGGTCCCACAGATGTTGATTGACGACCACAAAACTCGCTGAATGGTTGCAGCGTTTGAGTTTCTTGACCATTGCAATACTGATGGAGAAGAGTTTTTGAAATCCATTGTGACAGGTGATGAGACATGGGTTCAATATGACGCTCGAAACGAAACGACAATCACAACTATGTATGCACACAAATTCTCCAAAGAGACCCACAAAATTCAAACGAACTTTTAACAACTGTAAGTTTATTGCAACTGTTTTTTGGGACCAAAAAGGTGTGTTGCTTGTGGAGTTTATGTAGCCCGGAACAATTAATGCAGATTCATATTGTGAAACTTTGCAATGCTTATGGAGAGCTATTCAAAACAAAGAAGAGGCATGCTGACTTCTGGAATTGTTCTGATCCATGACAATGCCCGTCCTCACAACTCTCGTGTAACCTAACGGCTCCTTCAGCAATTTCAATGGGACATTTTCGAACATCTACCGTATAGTCCCGACCTAGCGCCGAGTGACTTTCATCTGTTCCCTGAACTGAAGCAGTGGCTTGGTGGGAAGCGCTTCCAAAATGACGTGGACATGGGTTCAATATGACAAAAATGACGTGGAGCTGAAAGAAACCGTCGCAACTCACTTCCAATCATTGGCAGGGACATTTTATGAAGAGGGTATTTCAAAGCTTGTTCACAGATATGACAAATGCCTCAATCGTCAAGGTGATTATATAGAGAAATAACCTGTATTGTACATTACTTTTGGTAATAAAATCTTTTTTGTACAGTCAAAAGTCGTTAATTCGGACACCCATAATTCGGAATGATCTATAATCCGGACCTCAAAACTAAAAACTTTCTGCGCATGCGCCACATTGACACATGCGCATAGGCGTTTACGCGAGCGCGTAAGACCTTTTACGACTGCGCATATGAGTGTGCGCAAGTGCAGAATACGTTTTCGCGTGCGCGTTTTATGTAGAATGGACGTATAAGCTAAAATTATCTAATTATCTATTTCAGTTAATGTTGATGATTGCGTAGTTCCTTAATTTTCGAATTGGATCCGGCTTATTATTTTTTGCAGACTGTAAGAGCAATTTTATAAAAGTAAGCTTAAACTTTCGATTATGTCAAATAGAATTTCCGATATATATTTGTTAATATGTAAAGGATCTAAAGCGAAAGTATGTTTTGAAATCCGAAATCTGTTTATCAATTTCACGCTGCTCGGCGGGGGAAACGCCGCGGCGGGCGCGTAATGAATTGGAAGTTGATCTGTCAGCATTGTCCTTATCTTCAGCACAGATGTTTTTATTTTATTTGGCTTATAAGTCCTTACCAAATGTAGTATTTCATCTCGATATGCTCCGTCTTTGATATGATTTAAAACATGTTTCTCGTCATTATAATTCGCTTCCAATAGCGAAGAAAGTGACAGAGGTTATTGAAAACGAAGAAATTTTGATTGACAAATTAGTCGGTGTTCTCGACACAGCAATTATAGGACTTGAACAGCGGAACTTTGTAACTGAACAAGAAATTATGTCTGTTTAATAGAATTAAAGAGAAAGTATTATCACATGAAACGAAGCAAAACTTAAACAACTTACATTGAAAGAAATGTTTAATAAAGTAAACAAATAAATATTAAGCTTTTTCTTTTTGTAAATTTTGATACCCTTTAGATCATAATTGTTCTTTATTTCATAAATTACGGTTTCATATTTTTAATTTTAGAATTTCTGCATGCCATCTTACGAGATTTAAACTGATGATCTATAATCCGGAATCGCCGAAGTCCCGCCGAGTCCGGATTAACGACTTTTGACTGCATATTCACCCATCTTTTCTTTACAGCTCATCGAAGGTTGGAAAAAAAAATAGCCCTCATATAATTACTTTTGAAAGAAGCTTGCATGAATTTTTCAAAGAGCATAAAAACTTTTTATTTCTACTATCGAATATGCTTAGGTGTGAGAAATAATTAAAAAAGGATAGTGTTTTTTGTAAAAATACTTAAAAATTTTCACCTTTTTTTGACTAAAAAAGACGGTTCGTACGGTCCTTAAAAGTCCTTAATTTTTTCAAAAATGATTTTGGTCCAAAATTTGGCCAAAAATAAACGGTCCTTAATTTTGCTCATTTTAATGATTGCCATTCTAAGTGTGAATTACGATTTCTCATGAATATGGAATTAAAATTACACAGCTCTTAACCAATCTGTTGGCGGATTTGCATTGCAAACGATTAAAAAAAAAAAAAAAAAAAAACAATTAGCTACCCGAACGAAAGTATCGGTGTCTGATTGGCTATTCACGCAATCTTTCGAAACAGGTGTTATCCATAAATTTAGGCAGACTGTGACGAAAGCGTGAAGCTGGAAGTTCTTTAAGAGGCGAAAGTGATGATGAAGGTGCTCGAGAAAAAAAAAGGGGGGGGAGATTCTGAAAATATTTGCCAAAACTAGAGCAATTCCAACCTGGAAGGCCACAACCCTTCCGACGCCAATAGGAACGAGATGCCTGGAAAGTGCATTTTCAATAAACTGTGGCTTCATCAAGCTGACTACAAAGACTGGATATTGATGGATGGCAATCCTTAAATGTGGTCTTTGTCTGAAACAAATTGAAATTTCTAGAATGGGAGAGTCAGCACTGAAAATTCACATTAAAATTAAGTTTCGTTTTATCATTTCAATTTGTTTTTTACACGGTTTTGCT